TTATGTTGAAGATGAAATATTAACAGAAAAATTAAGCTTATTATTTGAGTAACATTTTAATTTGTATTGTACTTACTATGTTTATTCATAAATCATATAATTATCATGTTTAGGAATTATAAGAAATAATACATGCTTTTCTTTTGTAATGTCAAATGTGTAATTACTACAGATACATAAAGCATTAAAATGAAACAATAGCACAAAAATTGGCAGCATGATTACTAGAAATTATCATTAACATTTTCAAATTCTGAGTAATAAAAATGGTTGTAAATACAAACATAAATAGTCATATTACATAAACATCCACGTGTGTTTACAAAATAATTATATTACTAAAGACTAAAAATGTGTCGACCAAATTTTGTAAATATTTAAAAAGTAAAATTATTGCAAAATGTTATTTAATCAAAATAGATCATATGGGTTAACAAAAAAGAAGTAAATTCTCATTTGTAACATTTCTAATTATAAAGAGACCTTGCTATACCCTATTTGTAAACGAGCGTGCAGGCTACATAACCTTAATCATGCCCATATGGATAAATTACGGAAAGTATAATAGCCTAATTTTTATAATGCAAATATTAAATCAACATTTGATAGGAAAACTTACCCGATAACTCCTTTTGAGTAATGTTTATTGCGTATCCGCCACGGACAGCCGCCGTATTCGCCAACTAAGGCATCGTAATTGTAGTTCATGCCGTAGGTACTAGCACGATTATCACCTTTCCTGCGCGACGGATTGTAATAGGTGCCGCAAGTATTATGTTGTATGCGATCCCCTGCACGAGAATTAAGAGAATCCAAGCATATGAAATCTTGCTGAAGCTTCACACCCATCACATTCGAAGAGGAGTCGTTCTTCAGCGTTAAGATATCCAGGCCTTTCTCAGCTTCCCAAATGTGTAACCACAAATCCTTAGCGGGGCCGAACTGCTCCGGTTGATACCAACCGATAGTCGGATCCATTAAATAGTTCTCGATTCTGTATCTTACGATTAATGGTCCTTGCGCACTACACTACAATTCCAATCTTAATTCAACTTTAATTGAAAAATTGTCTGATTTATTGTAACCTGCGAACACTATGAAATTCATACATACAACCAATGAATAAGAGCATTTTAGAAGGAACTTCGTACATCGTTGTACAAGCATAGAGTAATAAAGATACTCGAAGAGTTTATTCCTGCAGATGGCATTATCACCTACACACCTACACAGTAAATGTTTCTAAAAATATGGTTAAAAATTGTATGCATTGTAATTTTAAATGATCTTAAATTAATATTAAACATTCGTACGAGAAAAACGTACGAATAGTGACATCTTACATGATTCAAATTACTTGTGTTACATAATTTTTTTACCGCCATTCAAATATTAATTTATCATAAATGTTTAAAATTTTTTAACAGTGAATTAAAATATTCGATGTTAAAAAGATTGTTTACGTCTTTTTTGTTTCACTTTCTGAGAATGAATCTACAAGTGAAAATTACTAGATTTTAAGATACATTTTTAGCGTGAATTCGATTATATGAGAAGATTTGAATATTTTAAGTCAAAAGAAAAAATATGTGGCATAAAAATATATAACTGGTAACTACTAAATAAAAAATTTTGAAATTAATTAATATAAATGAAA